GGGTTTCTAAGTTGTAGCCACTATATTGACTGGGCCATCAGGCAAAAAATAAAAAAGAAAAACATTAAAAACTGAAAAAGCTGTAAATTCACTCAGTGCAGTTCCTTTTGTCCAATGTTAATCCCTTTTCAGTTTCTGACTACTTTGGTTACTCTCCAGTGCTTTCAGGTAGTGTGTGTGTGTGTGTGTGTGTGTAATTGGTTTTTGTTTTTTTCTGGATCTTATACTTACATGTTGAGGGTAATATTGTAGGAGTAGTCCTTTACTGCAGGAAGCTGGAAGTTTTTCAAAAATTCATATATATATATATATATATACACACACATATATATAGATAGATTATTTTTAAATCTTTTTTTAAAACCTTTATTTTTTAACTTTTTTTATTGAGTTATAGTTAGTTTACAATGTTGTGTCAATTTCCAGTTAAAATCATTTTGTTTTGAATTGATTCTTTGTACTGTAAGGTAGTATAAAGAATTTTACCTACTCGCTGTACCTCACTACCCATGATTAACAAATACTGACTTTTTGCTCTGTGTGTGAGAGCAAAATTAATCTAATGATTTACTCATTCCCCTATGATGAATATTTAGTTTCCAGTTTTATATGTCACCTTTATAATCAAGGAGGGAAAAACAAAATGCTAATTTTTTCCCCTTTGTAGGTAAGCAGACGATGGGCTTTCCCCTTCTCACTTTTCAAGACCGATCAGATAACAAACTGTACCGTCTCCAGACTCCACAGAGCCCTTTAGTGAGACCATACATGTACGATTATTACGACATGGATAACTACCCAATCGGGACCAATGCCATTGTTGCTGTCATTTCTTACACTGGCTATGACATGGAAGACGCCATGGTAAGTTTCACCAAGAGATGTAGTTCCATTCTTTTTCATTTGTAACTTTTTAATTTACTGTGAGATCATCGAAGGAGTATTTCTGTGTCCCCTGGTGCACGTGGGTGTTCTGTTAAATAGTTAATTCCTGATCTAAGTTAAAAGTGGCAAGCCTCAAGGGATGTTACTAAATACTTGTATGCACACAGCCTGCATGCTTGAGAGCCTGGCATGAGTAGATGTCGAATGAATGTAGTCTTGGAAACACCTACCGTTTATGTTTATGCGTGGTTAGATTTTCAGCCATTTATACCTGTCTGAGCTTTAATAGCACAGGTGGTTTGGAAAATGTGGACAGAGTTTTAAAATCCAGAGCCAGTTACCCTAAACCAAGTGTTGTAATTCTCACTGGTTTTATTTTGAAAGCCCTCGTTTGGCCTCCGTCTCTTAATGAGTTTTGGCTTCGCAGATTGTGAATAAGGCCTCTTGGGAGCGAGGCTTTGCCCATGGAAGTGTCTACAAGTCCGAGTTCATAGATCTGTCTGAGAAAATTAAGCAAGGAGATGATAGTCTGGTGTTTGGAGTCAAACCCGGTGACCCACGGACCCTGCATAAGCTGGATGGCGATGGCCTGCCGTTTATTGGAGCACAGCTGCAGTGCGGAGACCCGTACTACAGCTACGTCAACCTCAACACCGGGGAGAGCTTCGTGACCTACTATAAGTAAGTCTGCACGCCGGCGCTATTTGTCAGAGGCTGTTTCTCAGTGAAAGTGCTGGAGGTCAATGAAGGTTATTTCTCCGCAGAAGAATTCTGGGAGAAAGTGTAAGTGGTGGCTGAGTTACTAACTGTATCGGTGTTTCTTAAAGGAACGTTCCGTGTCTGTTGTGCTGCCTTTGTTTTTCTGCTTCTCTTATAGTCTCTTACTACTGATGAGTTATCTGTGATTTATTTTAAACCTGTATCATTCAGGGCGAGGGTATAGCTCAAGTGGTAGAGCGCATGCTTCACGTGCACGAGGTCCTGAGTTCAATCCCCAGTACCTCCTCTAAAAATAAAGGAATAAACCTAATTACCACCCCCCCAAAAAAACACTGTGTTATTCAAACTTGATCATCTCTCATACACATTGTTAGTAATGTTTCCTAGCTGAAATGTTGAATTCATTGTTTCCTATTAAAAATAAATAATTTCAGGCTTATTTTACGACTAAAATCGGTTTCAGTAGTAGGTCCTCAGTTGCCTTTCTTGCTAGCATTCTTGCAGATAACACGGTTCTGTAGTGAACATAATCAGTGGGGTCCCACATAATTCATGAGTACTTTGAGGGGTACCAGCTCTATTTGTATTGGGGAATAGAGGTAAGAATAAGTTTTGCAAATATCCTTTATGAAGCACTAAATATTTCAGTAAAACTTAGTGTCTCTATACGTTTAAACAAATATTTTGACTTTCTGTACGGTTTATTTTTCCCTAGGAGTAAAGAGAATTGTATTGTGGATAACATCAAAGTGTGCAGTAATGACACCGGAAGTGGCAGGTTCAAGTGCATTTGCATCACGATGAGAATCCCTCGGAACCCAACTATCGGGGATAAGTTTGCCAGTCGTCATGGGCAGAAGGGCATCTTGAGCAGACTGTGGCCCGTGGAGGACATGCCGTTCACTGAGAGCGGGATGGTCCCAGACATTCTGTTCAACCCCCACGGGTTTCCATCCCGCATGACCATCGGTATGCTGATCGAGAGTATGGCAGGGAAGTCGGCGGCTTTGCACGGCCTCTGCCACGATGCCACACCCTTCACCTTCTCCGAGGAGAACTCTGCCCTGGAACACTTCGGGGAGATGCTGAAGGCTGCCGGCTACAACTTCTATGGCACCGAGAGGCTGTACAGTGGCATCAGTGGGCTGGAGCTGGAGGCAGACATTTTCATAGGCGTGGTCTATTACCAGCGCCTACGCCACATGGTCTCAGACAAATTCCAAGTGAGAACAACAGGAGCCAGAGACAAAGTCACCAACCAGCCCATTGGGGGAAGGAACGTCCAGGGTGGAATCCGTTTTGGGGAGATGGAGCGGGATGCCCTTTTAGCACACGGTACATCTTTCCTCCTTCACGACCGCCTCTTCAACTGCTCAGATCGCTCAGTAGCGCACGTGTGTGTGCAGTGTGGTAGCTTACTCTCCCCGCTCCTGGAGAAGCCCCCTCCGTCTTGGTCGGCCCTGCGCAACAGGAAGTACAGCTGTACCCTGTGTAACCGCAGCGACACCATCGACACGGTTTCTGTGCCTTACGTCTTCCGGTATTTTGTAGCTGAACTGGCAGCTATGAACATCAAAGTAAAACTGGACATCGTTTAACTGGATGCTGGCGTTTTGGGTCAGGATTGCTATCAGATTAAAGTAGAATGTGACTTTAGTTCAGTGGGGCTGTTAATAAGTTACTCTGGAGTTTTTCCAAGGTGGATAGAGCTCTCAGCCAAGACCTGGAGACGACGAATCAGGGTTTCTGAGTCGCTTGGGTATAATAACTACTGAAGATGATTTTCAGTGTATTTGTTAAAAAATTCTGTGTCTTTAAAAACAATACACTGATAAATAGAGGGATATTCAGGGAAAACTTTCCAACCCCAGGTTCTTTGTATCCAGCCTTCAGGATGCAGTGATTGTCAAACATTTGTGTCCATGTAAAGCAGAGCAGTCCAATGTGAATACAATATAAGCCATATATGTAGTTTTATATTTTCTTATATCCACATTAAAGTAAAAACAAAAGGCAGAAATATTTTTAACAGCTTTCTTTAAGTGTAATTGTTACACAAAAATGCACATATTTAATGTATATAACTGGGTGGGACTGAACGTACGCGTATGGCTGTGAATGATCCCAGTCATGGTAATAAATGTCACCTCCCGTAGTTTCCTTGTGCCTCTTCAGATTGTTTTTTGGCTTTTTTGTTAAGAACACTCATCTTGTATCAGTGGAACTTTATACCCTTTAAAATAGCAACTCCCCAGCTCCCTCTCCCTTCAGCTCCCTTCAAAGATAACCACCATTCTGTCTCTCTCAGTTTATTTTAGATGCCGCATAAGGGGGAGTTCATACAGTGTATATCCTTCTGGAACTGGCTTATTTTACTTAGCAGCATATCCTCCAGGCTCATCCATGTTGTTGCATATGGTCTCCTGTTGATGGACATTTGCATCGTTCCTTTTTTGGCAACAGATAAACTTGTATACATTTGTACAAATAAGATGCTTTTTTTTTTTTAGTGATTAAGCGACTGATTTGCAACTTTTATTAAAATAAACTTCCTCTATAAAAACAATTAATTTATAACTTGATCTCAACTCAAGTTTTGACAGCAGTTGAAGTCTTACATTTAAAAAAAAAAAAGCATGCTGCTGGGAGTCAGAGGCCAGGGGTAGCCTCTGTAGTACAAAAGCAATACTGTGTTCCTATTCCAGTCTTTAATGTCCAAGGTGAACAAAAAAGAGCAGTTAGTTTGTCTTTCACTGTTGACCGTTGGTCTTAATAATAAATGCAGCATATAATAAAAAAAACTGCATAAATTTCAACTAAAGAACAAAAAAACACTGGGATATAATTTTATACTTTAAAAATTCTACCAACTTTAACAAAGAATGACTGCATATTCATTTACATCAGTCCTCTGGTCCAGAATACACTTTCCATTTAAAATACGTTACTCACTCTTCTGTGCAACACGGATGGCTTCTAGCAGGAATCAGCATATAGTCCGTTCTTGGTGAAGACAACATTAGACAGATGTGTTGCCTGACGCTGGCTAATGCTGAATGGACAAAAGCAGCGAGACATATTAAGGTGTTTCTCCCTTTCTTGAACTGTCAGGTCAGTGATAAAGCAATGAAGTCCATAATATAATAGGGTATCTGCTAACATAAGGTTATATCCTGTGAGGGAGACTTTTGTCTTCAAGATAAAGTGTTAAGATCCTGGCGCTTGCTCTGAGCACTGTTATTTGCCTTTACTCAGCCCCAGACTTCTCCAGCAGCGTCAACACAGTGGCCGCCACCATCGTCCTAAGAGGCTTCTTAATGTTAATTTTATTAAGAGAATTCTTTCTCGAGTCTGTCTAATTATAAGACAGATAGGGCTAGACAGAAAAAAAATCTATCCATTCAAGGTATATCCTGGCTTTGCTTCATGAAACTGTTGGGGAAAAAAGAAGGGAAAAAACCACTTTGAATATTGGCTGACAATTCCCCTAACATGAGCAGAATCCCAACTAGACTTCCTACCCGATTCCTCACAGGCTGTGAGACTCTCCCTCACAGTCCCACGGTCGAGGTCTTTTGTTCAAGTCTGTCCAGCTTTTTGTTTGGTTGGTTTTTTAGTGGCATTTAAAATGGCTTAAGAAGAGCTTTCATTTTAGATTATAAATTCACAACTAAGAGATTGACTTTGTGACAATTCACAGAGCTTAGTCACATTTCACCAGTATTACATGTACTGATTTGTATACGTGTATGTAGTTCTGTTCAGTTTTATCACATGTTGATTGTTGTAACCACGGACATAAGACACAGAACTGTTCCATCACCACCAGTCTCTGCTGTGCTATCCCTTTATAGCTGTCCCCCCGCATCCCCCAGCTATAACCCTAGCAACCACTAGTCTATTTTACATCTCTATAATTTTGTTATAATATTATGTAAAAAGAATTAAGAGTATGTGACCTTTTGAAAATCACCCCTTCCACTCAACCTAATTCCCTTGAGATCCATTCAAGTCTTTGCATGTGAATAGTTTACTCCTGTTTATTGCTACATAGTATTCCATGGTATAGATGTAGCACAATTTGTTTAACCATTCACCTGGTGAAGGACATTTTGGTTGCTTCCTGTTTTTGGTGTTTACAAATAAAGCTGCTCTGAATACTAATGTACAATTTTTTGGTGAACATTCATGTCTCTGGGACAAACGTCCAAGAATGAAACTGCCGGTCATGGTGTGGATGCATGTTATTTTAGAAGAAACCACCAAATTGTTTTCCAAAGTGGCTGTACCATTTATTTTCCCACCAGCAATATATAGCTGATCTATTTCTTCCACATCCTGACCAGCATTTGATGGTGTTACTGCTTTTTATTTTAGCAATTCTGATAGGCGTGTGGTGATGTCTCATTGTGGTTTTAGTTTGCACTTCTCTAATAGCTAACAATGTTGAACATCTTTTCATGTGTTTATTTGCCATCTGTACATCTTCAGTGAAATGTCTTAAATATCTTTTGCTTATTTTCTAGTTGGACTGTCTTCTTACTGTAGAACTTTGAGACTTCATTGTATATTCTAAAAAGGCTTTTGTCAAAAAAATAAAAATAAAATAAAATAAAATAAAAAGGCCTTTGTCACATAAAGTGTTCTACAAATATTTTCTCCTAGTCCATCCATATTATCTTTTCATCTTCACAAGTCTTTTGCAGAGCAAAATATTTTAATTTTGATGAAGCCCAATTTATCATTTTTTGGTTTTTGAGGGATCACTTTTGGTGTCATGTCTAAGAACTCTACCAAGCCCAAAGATTTTCTCATATGCTGTCTTCTAAAGGTTTTATAGTTTAATGATTTAAATCTATGACCCATTTTCCACTCTGAGTTAATTTTTGTATATGGTGTGAGGATGAGATCAAAATTCATTTTTTTTACCTGTGGATATCAATTGCTTAGCACCACTATTTGAAGGCTATGTCCCTCCAGAGAATTACTTTTGCACCTTTGTCAAAAATCAGTTGGCCAGACCTTCCTTTCAAGATGGTGGAGTAGAAGCCACTGAAAGATTCAGGTCTTTTGAGCATAAGCTGCCCACTCTCCTTGCTTGACACCTGCCATAAATGGTGTACCTTCCTTCACTACAGCCTGATGACAGCAAACTGGCTTTGTTGCAGGGAAGGTGAGTGGACCCAAGCTCAGTTCGGTAACTTAGTGAAGGCATGCTACAAGCAGAGGGGTTTTTAACAAGCTGATCCCTTACCTGCTGTTCTGTGAGAGACAAGCTCAAGAATTTCTGTGAGTCACCAGTTTCTGTTAACCCTGTCGGCATGGTTTCACTATCTACCCAGAGATAGCACAGATTCCACAAGATAGGGGCACAGTCCTACAAGACGGCCCTCCCTCCCTTCTCCCCCACCCCAACATGCACGTACACTTCAGAGGGCAATCCTGAGTCCAGGCTGTCACTTGTACTTCTGACCAACTGGCTACAGATTGGAGATTCCAATGACCCCTCTTGGTGTTCAATGAATTTGCTGGAGTGGCTCACAGAAAAACTAGATTACCAGTTAATTACAGGAGGATATAACTCAGTAACAGCCAGATGGAAGAGATGCAGAGGGCAAGGTGCAGGAAAGGGGATAGAGCTTCCATGCTCTTCCCAACAGGCCAGGGTTTTAATGGAGGCTTCATTACACAGGCATGAATAATCAAATTATCCACGGTAGGCAACTGATTTAACCACTGGCCCCTCCCCTCTCCCCAGAAGTCAGGTGGGTGTGATTGAAAGCTCAGCCCATCTAATCACATGTTTTCTTCTCCTAGCAACCACCCCTTAGGTGTGGTCCCAAAGTCACCTCATTAACCTAAAAAAAGACACCTTCCTTGCTCTCATCACTTAGGAAACTCCAAGGGTTTTAGAAGCTCTGGGCTGAACAGCGCATAAAGGCCAAACACGTATTTATTACAATCACAACATCACACCTTCCCTGGACGTTCCACCAAATGTCACTCTCCCAACATGTCCCATTCCCTTCCCAGATCGATGATCCTCTTAGCGCTAGTCACTAATTTAATACATGTTTTTCTCATTTACTTTGGTGACTATTTGTCTCTCCCACTGGAATGTTAAGCCCCACTCCACTATTGTGGAATAGAACTTTACAGGCCCAAGATAGAGCCAATTCAGCCCTGGGTGCCGTGTCTGCAAACTGAAACTTACACAACTTTCACAACCCAGTAATGTTCCACTACACTCCGCAGATGCGCAATCTATCCAGTTGGCCAGTCCCCAGAGGCCAAGCCAGCTCTGGGCTTATTTCCTTCTTCCTTCTCACCCCACACAATGGCTCCAGCCATTACGATTTTTTTCTATTTTCCTCTCCGTTGTTTATTATTTATCCTATAAATGCTTCGTGCCTTCCACCCCATTTTGCAGTTCTCGGAATGGAGACTGTTTGCTTCGCAAAGTGTTAAAATTTGTTTGTTATCACCTGAATTGTCTCCTTCACTCATTTCTGTCTGTTTTATTCACTGCTATCTCCCAGCAGCTAAAACAGTTCCTGGCACATATATAGCACTTAAAACGTATCACAGCAGTGAATCACTGGATCCCATCTTAATGACAACGAAAAAATTAATCAGTAGCCAATCTGAGAAACAGAAAATTTTATTCGCACCAACCTGAAGGTTATAACCCAAGAGACAGTCTTTCCGAAAGTTCTGAGGACTGTTCTGCTTGCTAGAGGTCAGACAAGCATACTGAAACGCCAAGTAATTGTCACTTGCTCACAAGAAGCTAGTGCTCCTCTAAATTAACTATAATTAACTGTATTTTATGTCCAATTTGGCTGGTCTGGGAAGACCTCTATATCCTAGACAGCAGGACTGATTCTCAAGTTCTCTGACCAAGGGATACTCAGGCCCAGCCTCACTGGTGGGGGGGGCAACGCACCCACAGGTCCAGACTCACCGTAGGACAGATGAGGAGACAGACACGCTGTCACACCAGGAGGAATTAGACAAATAGTTTCCAAATGGTGGCATGGAGCCAAGATTAAAGCGCACGTCCGTCCTGGCTTCAGAGCTTATGCCAAGGGGTAGGGGGATACCGTCTGAGTAACCCAGGCTGAGCAGATGGGAGGTCCAGGCCTCCAGGTCTGGATCTCGGGGTGACTGCCCCTGCCCGCCTGCTCAGCAGCACGCACCACTTAGTCGCCCCAGGAGGACGGTGAGCGCATGCGCAAAGCCGACGAGCAGAGCGGCGGTAGGAATCAAGCTCCCGGTCCCTGCGCCCAGCAGCAGGCAGCCAAAGCGCCCAACCAAGCCGCGAACGGCAGCATGTTGAGGGGCAGCTGTAGCGGCAGCCGCCCTCCACCAGCTCCATTCGGGTGGCTAGGAACGCGTGTGGCTGCGACCACGTCCCTCAAGGCGCCGCGCACTAAGGCGACACACTCACCTTAGACCCGGGGCGCCGCCGTCTTCCTCACTACTTCCGGTGAATTCCCGGCGTCCCCGAGGCAAACCGGAAATAGAAGCGAATAAATACCCGAATGGGCTAGGACCGGAAGTGGCTACGCAGGGCGCCGCCATTACTGGTCGGGGCCGGAAGGACGGGTAGGGCGCCGCCATGACAGGCCGGGCGTGTACGGAACGGACCAGCTGTCCGTTCCGCGACAAGAAAAAACGAGGCAAAGAGGGCTGGGCGCCGCCATGACAACTTGATACCGGAAAAGGCGGGGCGCGCCCTCCTCATTGATCCTCCTCCAGCATCGGCCTCAAGATGTGAGTAGCGGGAGCTCCTATCCCGTAACTGCCCCCGCACTCCTTCTCTTCCCCAGCGATCTGGACGCAGGCCAGGACTCCGGGAAGAAGGATCAGCCTCTGTTCTCCGGAGATCTGATCCTTAGGAGTCAGCGCCGTCTCTCACTAGCCCCAACTCTCCGCGTGTTCAGGTCCTGCCCTCTGAGCGTTTAGGCCCCGCCCCTCTCGCGTAGTAACTAAGGACTTCCAGGTTCACTCTTTGAACACCCAAACCATATCCCCTACAAATCCCAGCCCTGGTCCCTTACCCTGCAACCCTGCGACTCCAGACTTGTCTCAGGATCTCTAGGACTCCTAGCCCGTCCTTAGAGCTCCCAGTTCCTCC